TACAGGGGAAAAATCAGGCGAGCCGGGCTGAAACGCGCCGGCGACGGCCGGGCACGCCGCCGGATGCATCAATAATTCTAAACCGTGCCGGTTTTTTGCTGGAATATTTATTTGGCCGGGCTATCGATCGCGAGGAAACGGGAGCGTATGCAATTTAAATGATACCGTTTCTCGAATCATAAATACACCAAGATTGACGGGCCGATATTCACGAACCGGTGGGAAAATTGAAAACACGGAGGTAGCGTTTCCGCCGGTAACTGAAAAACACGGCGCTGCTTTGTCGGGCTCTTTAAACGGACGCGAGCGTCGAGGACGAATTAGCGATTGGTTACGTAACGTGGACGTGGTCGCGATCGATTTCGGTTCGGCTAAAACAATCGTCGGCGAAAATAAAAAGGCAGAGCTGCACTCGCCGCTTGCGCTCGCTTGATTGTAAAACGGGGAGTGAGGAATTAGAGACGACGAAAGGAATAAGGAATGAGAAATCAAATATATAGATAGAGAATTAAGAATAAGATGTCAGGAGCGTTATAAGTTATTTAGTTAGTTTAAAATGTAATGAAAGGAACATATGTACAAAGAATAAAATAAAAATATTTTAAAACGAGATCCCTATTTTTCCTGTTTTCCGAACCTTGAACGCATCATTAATACTTTTATCATTTTCTTGATAGTTATCGATCGACTAAAATTGATTTTCATTTGTATATCGATGATCATTATACTGCAAATCCAAGTACGTTATTTTAATCGAGGCTTTCTTTACGCATTTCTTGCCGTTTTAAATCATATTATTGAATATAATTGAACGCGTCAACTTATAATTTAACGCGATTTTAATGACGTAACTTAAAATGGCAAGTAACATGTAAAAAGAACTTCAATAAAGTGTGTCATTTCCAAATATTTATACGTGTTGAATTAAAATAATACTTGTTTCCTTTTCAACCTGACTTGTTCCCGACGCAGCGATAATAGAGGATTTACAGAAAATAACTGTATAATCTGTTTATCCTCTTTCTTCGATGTTTTCCGTGTCTTATCGCGGCCTGGCAGATCATCAACAGTGTTTATTATTTCATACCACTTTATTCACTCGTTCACAAACGCTCTTGCCTTTTTTTACGTATTTTGCCACTTCCCGTGATATTCTCGATTCTTTCGGATGTAAAGAAAAACAGCTTTTCATATTTTTTCCCACTTTTCATATATTTTGCCACTTCCCGTGATATTCTCGATTCTTTCGGATGTAAAGAAAAACAGCTTTTCATATTTTTTCCCGTATGCGGCACTCATCGTGAAACATATCGTTTTCTAGCGAAAGTCGGATAATGACCCTTTGTTTAATGCGTCTTAAGAGAAGAGCCTTTCTACCTGCTCGTTCAAAAATGTTCGACGTAACGGTTTCCAAAATTTGCTCGGTCACGGTTCTTATTAGACGGACTGTATAAGAAATAAAACCTATACAATGTTCCCACAATTCTAGTTCTCTATCTTTCTTATTACGGATTGAAGCACGGTCGTCCGATCGATACATGGTCGAAATTGAATTCCTCGCTTCTTAATTTCCCGCATTTACTTCCTTATTCCCCCTTCCCCCCGCATTGCGTCATGAGCCTTAATTGTTAGCCGGAAACAATCACTTCGCGATGCAGCGCGAATGAACCCTGTCACTCGTCTATCGCGGGAAAAAAGTCCCGATGTCACAATTATTCTACCCGTCGGTTGCGCGCCGTATCGGAAAATTACGCGGAAAACGCAAGAAAAATAAAGTCAGCCGTCATGGCCGAAGAGTTCGAAGAATTCCACTCAATATCGTTGCGCGCATATACCCGGTGCACGCACACACACGGCATACCGAGTCTACAGCTCGGCTATTTTCGGCCGACTTTAAACTCGGTGCACTTACGTCGTAAAAAATTCATAGCCCCTAAACGGCTGCGAACTAAGAAGAGACGCGAAACTTTTCGCCGCCCTCGTCGTATCCCTCCGTCGTAACCCCCGAACATGCGGTATTTTTCGGAACACCCTCTCGCGCCGGCGGGACGATACGTCTAAATACGAGTACGCGGGCACGTTTACACGACGACCTCAGTTACCTGGCAAATCCCGTGGAATTTCACTCTTGCCGGTTGCCGGTTACGGTAAAGAGTCTTCGTTACCGCCCTACGATTCCAGATTCGCGACCGCCGTGCAACTGTAGATGTTACACACATACACACATATATATCGTGTGTCGGAGCGGTGGACAGGGGGGAGGGGAAAGAGAGAGAGAGAGAGAGAGACATCGGGAAGCTATCTCCGCGAAATTAAACCGTAAATCAGTAAATCGTTTTGCAGTGAAGTGATTAGTGCCGGCAGCAAAATCACTCGAGAGTTCGAGTGGACGACGAGGGGTGGAAAGCCAACTCAAATTCCGCAGAGGACGGAATTTTCTCTCTCTCTCTCTCTCTCTCTCTCACTCTGGCCTTCTCTTTCTTCTCGTTCTCCCATATTCTTATTGCCTTTCTACGCACGCTCCCGGTCGACGGACGGGGGCCAACCGGGAGCCGAGCCACTAAATCCGTACTTTTAAGGGCGATACGTGGCATTTCCAGCGATCCTCTTGACCTGTATTGATTTTCGACTTTGCTCATACAATCGGCAACATATTGCGAGGTAATTTGCACCCCGGGGGATCCACCCATGGAGGATCGTTCGGCCGCGAGAACGCACCGACACGTGAAATGAAAATTTATCCTTGTTATCCCCGTCGTGGGCCTGGGTGGTCTCGATCACAAATAAATCCAGCAGCTGCCATTTCGGCGGCACCTTTTCTTCGAGTTTGTCGCGAAGATATCGCTATTTCCGGCAAGTAATACAGCGATGGCTTTTCTCGCTTCACACTGTACGCTCGAAAAAGCTGAACTATCTTTCCTTCCCCTTCTTTCTCTCTCTCTCTCTCTCTCTCTCTGTCTCTCTCCCTTTCTATCTATCTATTTATCTCTATCTCTTTTTTTTCGTACTCGCTGTATTCATTTGACCCGCCCGATTAATTGAGGATCCATTTATTATTCGCATCATTTATTATTGCTCTTGTGCCGCTTTTTGTCCTTTGACGGGCGGAAATTGCCCGTCAGATAGCGTCGGTTAGTTTTCATGATAATTTCCGCGAATTGATCGAATTAATTCGAATGGTCGGTTTAATTAATGAAATGTAAGAACTTCATTTGTCCGAGATATGTATTACGTACGTGCGGGCGCGCGATAATAGAACGGGCGCGCGCGCACGCGCGAAGGTGCATGCATGCGCACCGCGAGCGAACTGATACGCGAGTGAAATTCAATTAAAAATCACCATTCGAGCCGGGCGCGCTTAAAATAAGCCGGCGTTGCAGTCAGTTTTTCTTGGGAAATGGCGCGAAAGCAAATCGCCGGCTGTCAGCCGAACAAAGGGTCCGATTAATTATTAACGGACGGCAAGAAAAATAATTAATCCGGAATAAATTAAACAAAGTGCGCGCCCTGCGCCCTTCATCCCCCCCCCCCCCCCNTCCTTCCCGTCTCTCTATCATTGTATTTTTTCAGCCACCTCCGGACGGCGGCTCCCTCGCCATTCCGACCGTGGAGAACGGAGAAAATAATGAAAATAATCTCAGCTCCCAATATATATATATATACGTGCGAATTGAAGGGCCAGATGGTGCGGGGAGTGAGCGGGTGCGGGGGAGAAGGGCAAAAATTAAAAATTCATTCGGGCATTGAGCCCGCGATAGAATTATTATCGCCAGGCTCGCATATTGTTACAAGAGCCTGGCGCGGAGCGCGCCGAAAATTAAAACGTCTGATAAAAATAGAGGAACGCTCGAATAGGGTGGCGGCATCGGCTTTCAATTTTCCCCTCGTCCTCCCATTTTTGTTATTATTCATATCAGATGGCATTGCGCGCGCGATATAATCGAGCCGTCGCATCGAAAATATGAATCTGATAACGAATTACATATCACGCCCTCGATGCCGGAATTGCGTCTAATGGTTATTCAGATTCTCCGACGGAAATTCGCGTTTCCTTTCTCTCTCTCTCTCTCTCTCTCTCGATCGATCGCATATACCGATCTGTTCTGCAGCGATCTCGGCGTAACGGCGCGCGACCTGTGCGTCGCCGTGATTTCGACGGCACGTACCTCGGCTAAAAAATAACGCTTAACTCCCCGCAATCCGATACCACCGCCTAGGAGTGTAACGTTCAACGTATCCATAAACTTTTTACGGTGTCTTTCCCACGCAACACGGGGGGGGGGGGGAANGGGGAAATCACGGTATCGTATTCTGCGTGCGCGATGCGTCGCAGTCGAGATGACAGATAAAATCCCCGCGCTTTTATTTCCGCGTATGTCGCAGCGTGTAAACGTCGCGCGGCGAATAAAAGCGCGCGAATGCATTTTGATAAAAATAAAAAGAAGATCGCAGTCTCAGAGAATGAGAATCACCCTGCCATTACGCGCGTCCGCCTTCCGAGAGGGATCTTCGCCGGGAGGAAACACGACGTCCAACAGTCAACGTTCCCCCTCCCCCCCCCCCCTTNTTGTTCTAAATTCAAAGTTCTAAATAAGTTCCGGCATAAGTGGATTTGCGAGAGTGGTTTTTCGAAAAAAAACATGTTCATATTGTATGATTCGCGGTCGCATTTCATCGGTGGCCGAAATGGGATGTTATAATTCGCCAGAAAGAGAGAGAGAGAGAAGAAGAAGAAGACCGAGCTTTTGAATAATTCGCTACTGACACATTCGAAGCCCACGAAACGAGCGAATTTCATGTATTCATACGGCAATACGGCTGCACACAGCTATGTGTTATTTACCTTTATCTTCCAACTAGATTACGATATTTATAGTTTATCGGCATCCGGATAAGCTCGCGAGGAAAATTTGATTTCCGAAGCAGGCCGATGTCTAATAAGAGCCCGGCGGGCAGGAGAGGGGGAGGGGAAGGTAGATATAATAGACACCTTTCTCGCGTGTCTCGTACCTAAAATATATTTTTCTAAAGTGGAGCTATACACATTTCTTGTACATTGAAAAATACTATACTTACACACGTAACCTACGTAGAGGTATCGCACTTCTGTGTAGTTTCCCTCTTAAATGTGCACGCCACGTAAATGTGTACTGCGACGTATGACGACGGGGGATGGACGCGGAGATATCCTGTTTCTCTCGAAAAATACTTTTCTCTCTTTATCACACGCACACGCACACACACGTACACACACATACTCGCGCAGAGTGAAAGGCCGAGGCCAGCTTTCTCGTCGTTCTCTCAACGAAGAGATTAGAAAATTAGACACGGACGTGACGCGCTAGTCCTCCCGCATCAACAATGTACGACGACGTCACGCATAGCGACGCACGTATTCGGTGTTGCGATGCGTATATTTAGTTTCGCGTGTTGAAATACCTTCGTCGTCTTCGGCGCGTCTCGGTAGAGAGGAAACACGAGTCTTTCTGATATCCAAGAGGGAATGTGAAGTGGAGCAAGGATCGAGACGCCTAGCGCTATTGAAAAAGGGCGTTGCTTCTCTTTCTCTTCTCCTATCTAACTTCCGCGTACTTTCCGCTCCGAATTAACATTGAATGTTAACAATTCGAGGTGAGAAGAAAAATCATTACAATTGTATCAGTCCATTGTATATATAGGTATATGTAAAAAGTCAACGATCCGTTTTCCGTTGGATGTTCCCGCCTCAAAGGAAAATCAGTTTTATACATAGAGCCTCGTCTCGTTATCAAATATAGTTCCTCGACACGCACGCACGCACGCACGCGGCACACACACACACCGCGGCCGGTGACTCTCTGATATAACTTCGCAGTTTCGCGGATAACACCGACTTTCGTTGACATACACGTCGCGCGCGTGTTAACGAATGAAAAGCCTCGCTGAGCCACCACATTGGCGCGTCCAATTGATTGAAATCTTATTGAAAGTAACAAGCCACTTATTAAATTGGCTATAGTGCTCTATCAATAAAAGTCGATAAAAAAATATATGTACACGTTGCTTCGGCACAACTTGTGGAAGTTTATCGAACATATCCATAACGCGACTCGTCTCGCACTTCTAAAAATATAGTCACGTAATTTACCTACTATGAATTCTCTCGAGGATGGCACGCTTTATCGTCAATCTCATTAACGATTAACAACGAGGTCAAATTAACGGGTACAGCTGTGTGCGATTGATTGCGAAAAGCAGTCTTGCGGGTCAGGAGTGAGTACCCTTTTTTAAACGATAAACGCGAAATTATATCTAATACTTAACCGATACGAACATATTTATTCGGCGGGGGAAATTATTTCACGATAATCTCTCGCTCATGATAGAGAGAAAAGTCTTGCACGTGTGATACGTATCGTATAAAGTATAAAATTACTTTATATCGGGTCACGCAAAATTCTTAAAACACCAGTCTCTGTGTTACTCACATTGATGAGCGAACGCTTGATCCGCGTACGTGTATATGTGACTGTAAAAACGGTGTGCCGCGCAGATACAGTTAAGAATAAGTGTCATTAAATTGAGTACGAATAAACACTGACAGTAATTTAGAAAAAAGAAATGAAATTAGTGATATTAATCGGGTACTTTCGTGCCACCATTTTAGTTAAATCATCTCTCGCGTCGGGGGAATACCATTTCGTATATGGCGAAAATTCCTAAAACATCATCCAATATATAACGTATGTACAGAATGTTGCAGGACTTCCGCATTTCCTTTTAGATTTACGGTGCGGCGATCCGAGTAAAATTGTATTAATTATATTTTGAACTTAATAAAATGTTTGATATAAGAAGATGAAAGTGCGGAAAACTTGAAACGTCCTGTATTTATATAGGAATAATATCGTATATACAGGGTGTCTTAGAATAACCACACGTAGAATACAACGGGAGATTGTTGGTACTAAACGAAGCAATATTTTGTTTACCAAAATTTCATTTGAATTATGATTTTTAAATGAGAACTATTTAAAGTCGCCGAATTAGCGCATCAAGTTGTTCAAATCAATAAACAATTGACTATTCTTTCAAGATATCACATGTAAAACTCTCAAATCTCTTCTTTAATACATATGTTTGATTTTCAATAAAGTGTGCGTCTTCTCTGGTTTTATACATTGTAAACATCGCTGACCGGCATTATCCTGACGTCGGGGTAAATCCGGTCAAATCTCATTTTCCGCTTTTGTTTCTTTGGTACATATTTTTATGAAATTGTTTACATCAGTCTATATTATAGTAAATACCTGTCGGTATGTATTGCATTGAACAGATCCTGAATCCGACATTTCTTGCCAGTTTTATTCAAGTTTTCGCTCAGGTGACCGCCATTACCCCGTTTAACCTTATTTATTTGCATATAAATAATTTATATAAATAATATTCCATTAACCTTTTTCAAGACCACAAATATTTTTAAAACATTGGAACATTTCGTACAAAACTTATTTGTTTGTTGTTCAAGCATATTATTTCATTATTTGTAGTCGTTTTTTCAGTAACATCGGTAAGAAATTCTCTTGTATCACATAAGTTTCATTCAAAATAGCGCTAAATTCAGATAGTATTTATTTGATACGAAAGAATTTCTTCGATCCGATGTAACTAGAAACACGACTACAAATAGTAAATTAAATGACAAACTTAAATGACACACAAATAATTCTTTATACTAAGTATCGTCCTAACGTTTTGGAAATATTTGTGGCTTTGGAAAAGGCCGATAGAATATCATTTGTGCAAATTATACAAATAAGTTCTATTCAAAGTAGCAGTAAATTCAAATATTAAACGTAGTCGAGTAATAAAATCTTTAATGAAATAATAAATAAATAAAAGAAAAAATCAGCTTATACGATTCAAATAATATTTCATGATTCTGCTCCTGATTCGCGCACAATCCAATACGCTAATTCGATAACTTTAAATAGCCTCTCATTTATACAAATTATCGCTCGGACAAAATTTTGGTAAACGAGACTTGGTTAGGTACCAAAAATTCCCGAGTGCACTTTGCATGCGGTTATTTTGGCACACCTTGAATACATATCTCGCTCTAAATTTTTTCTCTTTGGTAGACATATGTATATATATATTTGTTATATGTTTGTTGTATATATGTATATGTGTATATATCAGAACTTTGTTTTTTCTCTTATATGTATATCGAGAGCACAGTCGGAATAAAAATATGTCTGAAAGATATTCTACCCCACGTTCTTCCTTTCTTCGTGAGGAGGGGCTCTCCGATAGTATCAGATCAGATCAGGTTAGTTCGATTTTACCTATCACCGAGCATACTCAATGCTTAACGATGTATCTGAAAACAACAGGTTTTCTTTCCGACGGGTTTCGACCGCCAGGATAAATTAGGGTTCTTCCATTGCGTGCGACTTATGCAACCCTGTATTCGTAATTGTTTTACGCGAATGGCTCCTTTAGACCTGGAGGGTAACTCAACGTGAAGTTTTTCCTTTCTTGTCGAAAAGTCCGAAACTTGTTGAATTCTCAAAGGAAAGATTTTTGCAAGTCGAGCTATCGTAAGCGATTATTCGATGCGACATCTACGCGAGAGCTTCCGTATATTTTTATTCCTTTTCCAGTCATGTATGTACGCAACTTTTTCGCCTGAATGCCACGTGCTGATCCTCCTCTCGCGTCGCATAAAATAACGAACTGAATGCGAATGTCTAGTTTTTTCTCTTCTCTACCGACGTGTCGGAGTCGTTCGCTCGTGAAACTGATTGTTCTACCTATCACGAGGCGAAGCGAAGTCGTGTGTTTGAAGCTTCGACGAAAGTTTCGTCGCTAACGTTATTGCTTAATGTTTCGTATGCCGCAACGGAAGTACACCCGGGTGTAACATTAACAATCGCTAGATCTATGGTCTATCAACAGCGTTTAAACGTACTTGCTCACAAAAATCCATGTATGAGGAGTCGCTCTACGTGTTTACGTATCTGAATACCCCACATTTGTGATTATTCTTCGGCATCTTTCTCGCTTCCGTTCGTCTGTTACCTTCTCGCGCGGAATCCGCCGCTTATTTGTGCGAGCCTTTATCGTGGCACACGATATGGACCAGTTTCAAATTCTTCACGGTGAACAGATTGTCGTAACAGTCGTAGATGTCCTTCTCGTTGATCGTGTCCTGCAGCGAGATTTGCAGTAACTTCGGCACGAGCGTTCTTGACCTTTCGACTCTGCAATTTATTATGAAACGATTACAACGTGCGGTACATTTAAAATCCCATGCATATTTATATTGCGTGACCGCTTAAATTCTTAAATACGGCTTCTTTCGCATTCATGTAATCAATCTCTTCGTCACTCGCGCGCGCGCGCGTGTAACGTTTCCCTACGCGACACAATGGAGAATGCGGCGCATGGAGAATGAGTGAAAAAATATTTTCCGATTGTCTCGCACGAACGTGCCGGGATTGCATACCAGAGAGATGCAAGACGGTCCTGCGCGAAGAAAAATTCACAAATGCTCAAACATGTTTGTCTCTTCCCTTTTCTCCTTTTCTCTCTCCTTTTTCAATCCACTTCTTTAATCACATTCGCAACCGCCGGCGTAGTACAGGAAACACAGTTTCACTTGAGCGGCTGCGAACGCGTTAATTAACCTTTTTGACTCGATAGTTCGACTCGATCGTGATTTTAACCGACTTCAGCCGACTTCAGCCAGTCATCAAATTCACATTTACGACCGCGCGTTGATTTTAATCGACGGAACCTACATACATCTTTTCACCTCGTTATTATCCTTCATGTAATCATAATTATTTCACAAGATACGTAAATTGTTTATTACTATATAGCAACAGCAAAGAGATTTGATTGAAGAGCAAAAATTTGTTAACAGCGTTAATTCCTAATTGTACCGAGTAAATTTTACCGCTGTCGCAACGACGTTCTGTTGCAACAGCAAAATTATTTTTCTCGTGTAAAATATCTCTTTAAAGTCGCTACTAATAAGCAATTCGCTGTGCCAGCGGAAAATTTGTCTCCGTGTGTGTTCTCCGCAACTCCACGCGGTCGACATCCGTCGCACCGAAAGGATTCAATCAGCGTCAAATTATATCTCATAATTTGACGTTCAGCGCGTTAAGACACGGTGTAAAGATTCGGATCGACGGCCGAGGCCGTCCGCGCACGTTGTCGCCTTACTTGTGATCCAAATTCCACGTGGAGAACAGGACCAGTTCCTCCTTGGATCTGTACGGATTAATCCTGTGCCTGTCACCGTAGGCGCAGCGATCCACGTTCCACCGGCCCTCGCATTGAAATTCACCCTTGTCGTCGCAGATGGCGATTTGCTCCTGCCTGTCCCGCGGCTTCACGTGATAAGAGCAGCTCCCCGGCTCTTCGTCGTTCGCTTCCGTCTTCGTCGACTTGTCGAGCTTCCTCGCGTCCGTTTCATCTTCGATCTTGGCTGAGTCGACGGTTTCGTTCGTAGCCGGCGATTGGAGGTAACTCTCGTCGCTGAAGCGGCCGAGTCTGCAGGGACAATGCTCGTAGCATAGACTGGAATCGTCGGTCTCGTCGCTCTCAGCCTCAGCCTTCACTCTGCTCCGGTCGAAATAGTAACCGAAATAATGATCCTCCTTCAGCTGGACCTTGAAGAACGCGATCGCCCGTAATAGCTGTTGCCTCGCCTTGCGATCGTTCACGTACACGTCCGAGCACTTGATCTGCTCGATGGTCTTGTAGAGGTAACCGCGTATCCTGTCCTGACATCTACGATGCATGTAAGCTTCCTGCGAGTGAAAGAGCGACTTGAGATTTGTTCATCCTCACACTAAGATTGTTAGGTACGTTTTTCCTCAATGCAGTGTTATTAATAACATTATCTAACGATTAAAGAGTCTCGAAGATTCGCAGTTGGAAACATCCCACTTTTACAATGGCGGATTCTCAGCTTGCCACTTATTCGAGACACCGAATATTGGATTGCAAGAAAAGCCGGCGAACAATGATTCCGTTCCCGGCTTACCTTAGTCGTATAATTGGTCTCCAGGTCTGCGAACCACTCCGGGTGCTCGTCCCTTTTGCTGAGTGCCGTCTTAGAATCGTCCTTGTTCAACACGCTGTTCAACACGGCGACTTTCGCCTTGAGATTCTCCGTCAGGAATTGCGCCACTCTGTCGCCGGTTACGAGGAAATCGATGTTCACGCGTCTCAGCGCATCGTACAGGATGTCCGCGTCTGCGGGAAATCGTTCGTCCTTGAGAAAAAGGGAGGAGAGAGAGAGAGAGAGAGAAAGAGAAAGAGAGAAAAGAAGGAGAGCGGAAAATTGCACGCCGCCATCGCGGCCCGTTTCATCGGGGGAGGCGAGAGCGATCCGCTTTCCCCCGAGGGGCGCGCGTTTGCCTGTGCCAGAGGAAGTTCGCGAACTTCGAGATATACCGACACTGGCCCGGAATATTTCACTTTGGCGTTCGGCCAAGTCGTTCGCAGTGCATATTCGTTGTAGCGCGATAAACTTACGAGAAATTTCTGAAGCGATGTGTCTTGGAAGCACTCTCTCTCTCTCTCTCTCTCTCTCTCAAGAGTTACGGGGATGGTAACGAGTGACAAAAGCGCGCACGACGATGATGCGAGACGAGAGCAACGAGAATAAAAACGTTCGCGGGATAAATGCGGCGAGACGCGACTTTTATACGGAGTCACGGAGTAATCAGACACGCGTCGGGCCATTGATCGAGTGGAAATTGAGAAATTGGGTGCAAGCGATACGCCGTTAGTTGAAATTGAAACGGTTAATGTCATCTCGAAGATTGGAGGTAGAATGTCCAATAACCGGGCATGCGATATCATCCTCCATATCATCGTTCTAACCACATTACTTGTTCTAGTTTCAGGTTAGTACATATGTGTGTGCGTGTTTGTGTTTTACATTGTTACATTACGTCCTCGTACTAACCGGATAACACCTTCTCCCCTGGCTTTTGCAGAATCAGAGTAGTCTGCGGTTCCAGCGTACGAAAGTATTCGTCGTCGACCAGGGAGCCATCCACGAGAAAGACGTTCACTTCCGTCGGCTCGTTAGTTATCTGCAAGGACACGTATTGCGTATTGTGTGCGGTCGAACCTGCTCATTGCGCAAAATTTATGAAGTGTAAACACGCAATTTAAGCGATTTAAGCAATTTCAGCTTATGAGCTAATCGTGACGAAAGAGAGACCGGAGGACGAAAGGTTCTCGTGTAAACGATTTGGCGGAAGGCGCAACGAGAACGCGAATCGCAGGTGCTGCAGGTAACGATTACCGGCGATCAATTTTAAATTCTATCCTAGCATAATACGCACCAAACGTAATTGCAGTGAATAAATGATCATTACTGAAGTAGTGTGAGAGAATTCGATGTCCGAGACAGCTATCAAGACTTGAGAAGCAAGGCTACAATTCCTCGTTCGCTTTTTTTCTTACAGTTTCGCTATAAATAATATCTCCAAGATTGAATACAAGTGTAACAAACTTTTACATTCCTCTCCTCGCCATGGCGATATCGTGAAAATTCCTCTCGGCAGCCTCGGAGATTACGCTGAAGGTCGCACCGAGTTACGATTCGCTCGCCCCGAGTCTGCGACTCTTCTCGGCCGACAAAGTTTCCACTGGACTCCGAATTCTCATAAATAATCCGAGACAGAATAATTCTCCTCTCGCACCTCCGAGCGCGAAGTTACGATGCAGCATTAAATTTAAGAGAACGTGCTTCTCTAATCTCTCTCGTATATAGACCGTGTTAATTATGAATTTCTGTGTTCTAATTAGAGAATACAGAACCGATGTTACTAATACAATTGTGGTACCGAAACATTGATTTACGGCTACCTAGTTACTAGTTGAAATCATCCCTTAGGCGATGCCAGAATTGGGTATCGCTCAAATAAATTTTTCTTCAGTTGATATTTAAATAAATTCATTGTTTGTTTTATTCGTTATTCGCATTATTTACATTATTTGCTGTTCGAATATGTATAATTATTCGTTATTTGCATTATTTGTTATTTGTGTTAATATTATTCGCCCATGTGTGTGCGTCACATATATGTGAATTCATATTTCATTCATATTTTCAATTTCTCCATTTTTATATAATATATCGTATAATATCGTTATATTATTATTCCAGCAATATATTTTTATATTGTTTCTAGCAAAACAATTTTTAATAAAAATGTACTTATTTGTTATATCTGTAAAATAAACGGAGGAAAAACGAGGCAAAATGTAATAAGTGTACGCGTAATAAACATAAGCGTAATAAATGCATAAAAGCATAATAAATGATGAATAACAAGAACTCGAATAACGAATAATACGAATAACGAATAACACGAATAATGAATAATAAATAAATAATCTGTATATTAGTTTAAATAAATTATTCAAATAAGTGCCGTTATTTGATGACTTCTGAATAAGTGTTATTTATATATTTATTTGTTATTTATTATTTCAAATAATTTATTGTTTCAAATACATAAAATTTGCCCAAATCTGGACGATGTAACTTTCTCAAGTTACGTAATCTTTCGAATCTTGCTCGAGGAATGCATCCCGATTTTCCCGCGACGCTGCCGAATCGATACAGAATCAACGTTACTGCACAGACGCGAATCGAAATATATTAATACACCGATTTACCATTCCCTAATTTCGTACGCCCCTTAGACGCTCCTCGCGATTTTCTCGCTTTTAACCATACAATCTGCTAGATCGTCTGGATTGCTCTTGTTTCGGATCGGAGAAATGCTGATTTTTCCGCAGCGACGCCGTGCCGGAAGACGTCGCCTTTAACGTACTTTAATGTACTTGAGAACTTGCAGGTCCACGGACGCTTCCGTATCGCTGTCCGACGTGCGAAAATATGCGGATTGATTTCGAAATCAGAGCGCGGAAAGTGGACTCCGAGACCTTGACATTGAGATGTTGGTTGTCCCTGGCCCGGATGGTTCGATAGAGCCAGTGCTGCGGGTAGACGCGTGCTGATCCCAAGGTCGCACTGCAACTGGATTAACCTACCTACCGACGAAATGCTACCAGCTTCATCGCGCGCGCTTCCAGGCCTCTCGACTCGCGTCAAGGCCAATCGTTGATAAACCCTCGCGGCGTCAATACAGTTGATACGAATGGCACGATTAAATGTGTGCTCTCTCTCTCTCTCTCTCTCTGTCTCTCGCGCGCGTTAATAAGAAAACGCTCTATTCGTAGAATAGAGTCATTTCCGCAAATTATTCAGAATTTCCCGTCATTAATTGCCGCGAGGCTCGAAATACGCTTAACAATTATTATAGATAGCTTGGATTATGCTAACAACGCTTAATAGCACCAATTAAATCTACGTGCCATGTGCCGTTTTTAATTTACATACTTGCTACTCTGTGATCTGCTGTGCACGCTGTTTTACATAGCCGACTTGGAGTTGTCGTTACGGAAAATTGCGGAAAATTTATACGGAGAGATTGCATATTTCGTTCCGACGAGGCATGAATGAATTCGAGAGGTGGAAACACGATTCGAGTATTGACGTCGCTTAAATAATCGTTCTGGCAAATCGTGCTCGAATCGAGGTCACGTTTCGTTCTTGGTAGCATAGTCGCCGTGAAACGTGACAGCAGGAGTATATTCATAAGAAGTCAGAATAAGAAATTGGCCGATCATATTCGAGTGTAATGAACGCCGTGTAATGATTGCAAACTACGCGTTAATGTATGTTGCTTCATCCCCTGGATAGTTTTCAGCCTCTTTTGAATAACCCGTAAAATTTAGAAGCGTATTAATGATGCGTAAATGTGCGAGGCTGAAGACCTGCGTGCAGTTTTCGATCTACGAAATATTACAGTCCACGTGACGCCGTGATTGCACGCGTGATTCTCGCGACTGGTTATTATCTTCGTATTCCCCGCGTAATTCATATTCCCGCGAAATGTATCTGTTCGGTCTGAATCAAAAGCTAGTGGTTAGCTAGTTAAATTGGATTTTCCAATTCGTTATTAACTCGTCATTACCTGATTATTCACTGAAACGTGGAATCGGTTTTGCGATTTAGCCGTTATCTGCAGCCATTATATACCAAATACGATGAGGTGAGATGATGACGCTGTCTACTCGGAAATATACACGGTGTCACCTGAATATTTTATCCGTAGTGTACTTGTAATTCAGGTCAATGTAAGAAGAAAAGTACCTGCGCCATTTTGCAAACGGCCACGTAAATTTCCGAGTTATTAATTCAAGAAGACGTATTTTGCAAACGTATTATATATATATATATACGTATTTTCTTCAGTTTAACCATCAGCTAATTTATTTATCCACCCGTTGTCGAGAAAAAGTGAGCGTTTCTTGCATTCTGAAACCTTGCATTGGCCAATAACAACAGGCAGAAATTTATTACCTCGTAGCTAGACATCTACGAGGTTTCATTTCTACATATAAAAAAAATAGTCTCAAATCAATGGCAAGTTCCCACATATATAAGTAAGAATATCATAATATTCTTAAAAGATTTCTAGTCTTGAATCGAAGTGTGCGAGTGATGCTTGCGCTCAATACAGATTTAATGAAATCAAGACCGAATCTCCTCAGAAGCTTACAATATTCTCGTTTACGTTGTGAGAACACCTATTCTTGATTTCGGACTTATTTTCCCCCGCACACTGGAATTCAGGCCCGCGACGTTATTTGCAAGATCAAAGCGCGAGTCCCGATTACTCCAGAGCTGCGATGCGCGGGAGAAGAGCGGACGCGGGGATCGAACGAATCTAGGCGGCGGTGATTCGATTAGCGCGTGTGCGCCGCGCGAGCGAGCGCGCTATTATTCTCGCTTCTCAATGCGCGATATCACAATGCGCTCGCAACGATCGTAAATCGAGCAGCGATGTCCCGCTCTCCGTTGGATGCGCGCCTGTGTCGAACGTTATTTTCGTTCGTTCCATCGCTCCGTAAATAACACGGAAACGTTCGAGACCGAAAAGGAAGCGGAATATATATTCGAAGTACGGCTTCTCGAAATCCGCGCAGCGACGGGGGGACTATTGGCATTCTCCTCGCGCGTGTACACGCGTGTACACTTAATAGCCGCGCTAACTGATTAACGATCCGCTCGAGAGGGAAACCACCTCGTCGTTGGTTACGCGATGACTGCCGAGCGCGTCCAAAAGTGCACGTGGCCCGCTCTTCCGAACGACGGCGCATTCATTCGCGAAACGCCCGATGAATGCGAACGCGCGGTATTTACCTGACAAATCCCGTTACGTTGTGGCATACGGTCGCTACATTGCGTGAAAACTCGTTACATTATTCATACGACCGCCTGTCGCGCGTCCGCGGGGCAAGCATGGGACGGCGGATGCATCAACATCCGCGGCAGGCCTAACGTAGACAATACGCCGTGCGATTAAACGGTGTACTCACGTTCAATTTCGCGCAGCCCTTTCGCTTCAGGTCCTGAAGACTTCGACAGGCGATGCCGAACTTTCGCGCCCGACTCACATCTGTCACTTTGTAACCCCTCAGCTGAAAACAAAGGAAAAGACATCGTCGATCGTGTGAGAACGCACGAGCTACACGTCGGGATCGTGAGTGAACGTAATTGCCATACCTGTCTTCAGCTTTTTATATCGCGTAATATTTTTATCAGGTTAAGAACATTTTGAAATAGCTTGCAGTAAATATTTGCAATATCTGGCGCTACAGCTACTTTAATAATCACTGGTCTAACTAGATACTTTAATATTTACCAGCCCTAATTACCATGAAATATTTTGATCACGTGCAGTGGATTCATATATTCGTGCATCATGACCGTTGATATATTCCGAAGAAAGGCAACGTTGCTTCGAGATGGTTTTGATAATAATAGCTTTCAATGCACGAAAGACAAATCGTGTGGTCATTAGGCTCAGTAAATGTTAATTAGTTAAAGGTATTATGACAGGCGTTATATTTGACTCGCAGTATTATCTTAATTTGTAAATAAATTACTGAATGTAAGTATAAAATAGTTCGAAATTTTGAAAAGTGTTTACTGGAATTATTCAACCTCTTTTCCATCGAAGGAGATCCTAGTAGCTTATAATTTAGATTTTTCCGTCTGGAGTAAATATTTTCTACAAATAAATTCTGATATTCCCGACATTATGAATTTAATACTCGTCGCGATTGTTTTAATACGCACAAGTAAACGTCTACTTATACAAAGGAAATATATTTGTGTATAGTCAATCATATTTCTACTTCTGGTAAATATCTGCCGAGAAATATTGGAGTAACCATTTTACTTAAATCAAGTAAATATCACTTGGACGATGGCATTTGTTTTTCAGTGCTGACTGTCACGAAGTGATTATTACGTTAATACGACGAAATTGTTATTACCGTCGATCGGCTTTGTGTGCGTTTCAAGTGAATTCGCTCGTGCAATGGTGGCGCTCAGTTATTTACATATATACATCGTTTTATATATACCTCGGACATTCGTTAATTTCAAACTCCGTTAGCGTCATATGCACAGGCGTGTTTTGCGTTTCATACCGCCGAGTTCTATTGAATATATTAATATTTAGCTTCTGCACTCGTTTATTTGCGCGCATCGTGGCGAATTAATTGCGCATAGTTACGCAATCGAGGAAAACCAACGGTCACTGCGGCGTTTTTGTTTTCGCATCGCAAAACACATCGAGGAGGAAGAAAGACGCGGGGCGAAAAAGACTTTGCGAACTTTGTGCATTCATTTCAAAGGAGACTCGGGAGAGAATTTAACTTTTGTGTTCAACGACTAAGCGCGACAAAACTTGCTCGTGAGGAGTAAATTTGGCGAATAAAATAACAGGTTGGTGGAACCTGAAGCTGGTAGCTCGGGATGTGATGAATTTTCCAAATCAGAACGAGCACCATCTTCGATAGATGAAATCGAGATGGGTAGTGTCGCGGCAAGCTGATACCCGCTGGTGCAAATAAATTGCATTAAGCGGCACGTCGCGTAATATTGGATTACCCCCGAAATCAAGTAACCTCGTAATTGCACTCAACCACGTTCAAGGCCATCAGATTTCAAAGGTTGTGCGCGTCACAATTTTCTTCGAGTGACCCACATTTTACGTTCAATGGCGTCCAGTCGATGATGGAAACCACTCGACACGTCACAATGCAAATGTCATGAATAATAAAGCCACTCCTATCAGAAGTCGACAAATCTTTTCCGGCCTTCCCGTGTGTTATTAATATGCGTATTTCGTCGATTAACAACCGAATGACCGATTTCACGTGCGAACGGCGGCCGTATCAATTATGCATACGGAAATATTTACCGTTCTGAAAAAATCAACGCGATCATTAACGAGTAAAATCGAACGACGAACCGGTCTCGTCGCGCTTGACAATTGAGAACTGTCGTTACAAATAATCGATAACAACCTTGCGGGTGGCCGGCCGTTTAACGCAGTTCGCGTGAATTTTTTTCTCCACCGCGTTACATCAATAACACCGAACGAAGTAGGAGCTACCCCTCCCTCGGCGCGTTACATCCGCCTAACTACGCCTCTCTTTCGTTTTGCCATGTCTCAAGCTTGAAGAGGAACACCCGTGACTTTTCGATACTCGTATATCGATTCGTTTTTATCACCATCGAATATCCGACAATTACGAATGAGCGATGAAACGAATTTGCCCGGAAGCGGGGAAGAACTGTCGGCAAAATTCCACCTGCTGAGAGCGAGGCTCTCCGCTCGGATTCGTCGCGGACGTCTCGTTATCGCGGCGATCTGTCACAACACGTTATCGCTATTATCAGCTAAAAACAAGCACGTGTCGTACCTCGTTCTTGTACGGCGATTCCGTCAGACGGCGGAAGCAGTCGGCAATGAGGGACATGATCGCCCGGGAACAACAAGCGATGACGAGACCACGTTCGGCGGGAACAGATGGCAATGGGACGACGGACAACAGACGAGTGCCACCCTCTTCTCACCCACACTGCACCGAACTCCCCGGCTCTCTCTCTCTCTCTCTCTCTCTTCGCCCGTCTGACGCCGTCGCGTTTCTCGCGACCGCCCCACTCGCACACTGACCCTGACACTGTCGCTCTTATCGTTCAGGGCCGCCGCTCGGATAAGACCCGGGGAAAGCGCGCCGAGATAGATAAAGAGAGAGAGAGAGAGAGAGAGAAAGAGGAAGAGAGATAAAGAGGAAGAGAAAGGCCGGCGGTAGGAGACGGAACTGAAGCGGTCCGAAGCGGAGGAAGGTCGTCGTCGGTTGAATTAGCCCGGAGTGGAAGCAGGTAGACTAAAAGAAAGAAGAAGAGAGAGAGAGAGGGGGGGGGGAGTGAAAGGGACGGTCAGGAACGACCGTTCGCAGAGGGCAGGTCACGACGGCCGCGAGTCTCCTTCGATAACGGCGACTGGTCGGCCGAGAGAGACCACGGTGGAAAGTGGCCGCGTACCGTCGCGATGGTTTCGCGAGGGCGAAGGTCGGGCAGGAAAGAGACAGGTGCGAAGAAGGGCGTGCGCGGGAAACTAGCGACTGGCGGCGGCTGCAACATCGGCGGGACACGAGAGAGGAATGCGCCGTCCCGGCTGGCGAGACGTGCTGGCGAGGAAAGGAAACGATGAACCGGGAAACGCGCCTGCGAGCTAGAAATCTACTTCGTGCGGCGTCTCTTGGCAGAGGGCAGCACCTGACGGAGGCGACTCGGTCGAAGATACCTTACCTTCGGTACGGTACCTTCGGCGTTACCTCGATGAGAGCACGGCTTATTTGAAATTGATTGCCGTCGGTCACGGCGCAGATGTTGACTCGCAAGAAGGTGCAGGACATTTGAAGGACGCGGTCCCCACCTGGTGCTCAGGTGTTAAACGTAGGTGTTCATGACTAATGGTTTCGGGATATGTTTGACAATCGAGGATACCGAGCGCGCATCATTGAGGTATGAAGTAACAGGATCCACTTACTGGCTGGAGGACCCTGAGCGGGAGGAGGAGAGTCTTCTTCGTAACGGCCTTCGAAACGCGGTACTTGCGATTTCGAAGAGCTCATTCAATTTTCAACATTACGCAATACGATCGATCAAAAGTCGCGATCGGAGCACCGTCATCGTCGTAATCGCTACCGTAGCTGACCTCTTCCGAAGGTTCAAAACCACTCGATTATTCCGGAAGCAAAGTCGACTTCCTAATTAGAAAATATCCGACCGATAATTGCGCCTTTTTCAAGAGATTCTTTTTTATACCGCTTCGCCTCGAGAGAGAGAGAGAGAGAGAGATCGAATGGCCAAAACCGAAGTGACGACGTCCTCCAAACGAGCTTCAAGAGCCTGCGAAGAGGGTGCGTAATATCCTAGCGCCGATACTGCGTACGCAATGTATACGAGAGGAAAGGAGAGAGAAAGAGAGAGAGAGAAAGAGAGAGAGAGAGAGAGAGAAGGTTTGTCGCTCGAGTGTTCACCGAGACAAGTCAATGATGACGATAGAAAACACAGTCGGACTTTTTCCATTCAACAAGAAACGTTTCGTCAGCGAAAGAACCGATTAGAGTCACCGGTGATTGCGAAAGAACGTAATACTCCTGTGACGCTCGCAAAATAACCGATCGATGAATGACTCTCCGTCGTGTGGAGTGCAAACAAACGAATTTCCAAATCCCGCGAGACGTACGCGATTGCGATTACCAAAGGCTTTACACGAGATGTATATAAATCATCGTAATTTTACCACGGCTTGGCATTTGACGTCGCTCGTTGTAAACGAGCTCTCCGTTTGGCGCGCGTTACCTCGCGGGTGAGCGTCTCTGCCCGTCTAAATCGCGCTTATTAAATGATCGCCAGGCATAAAATCGCTTCTCACTCTCGGCCGTGCTAACGCACGGATAAAATTAAATAGATATATACGTGACGAAATAGGCGCTCGCGACTGGAGAAAGCGATAGAAGAACATACGGCAAAAGCAATATACGCCGCGCGGTAATTAGCGCTCTCGAACGCGCACGCGGGACACGCAGTTTTTCCGATTGCACGGGAAATGAAGAAAAAGAAAAAACAGCGGTCCGCAGCGTCAAGTGTTAACGACGTGTCTATTTGCGCGCGATGATGTCAAGATGCAAAGTGCTCTTTCCGGCACCGTCCCAAGCAGTCAATTCAACACGGTTAATTCAACGTAATCGGAAACTGACAGTTCTCACCTAGCCCGGCCCGTCTACGACCTGTTTCCACCGATCGGTTTATCACGCCGTCCCGAATTTGGCTAGGAAACTCGGCCGATCGTGCACTCGGATGACGTAAATCTTAAGTGACACCAGTCAATCGTCGGAAAGCAGAGGGGATCGTTAATGTCGCGTCGAGAGGCGCTCGAGAGCAGCGCGAAGACGTCCTACGAAGTCGGAAACGTCTCGATGGAGAGGATTGGAAAGGCTCCGCGCGGATCAGCGAAGAGAGAAAAAAAGAGGAATGAACGAAACTACAGAGACGTGGCCTTCATTACCGTGTGACTCCATGACTTTTTACATCAGATTTATTTATCACCCACCTCCGATATAGGCAGAAAGTGAAATTCGACGTGAGGCTTCGTCTTTCGCAACGCCTTTTCTTCGCGAACGCTTAACCAGGTTGTGCAGCGCGAACCACCGGCGACTACGATATATTTGAAACGAGCAGCCGATGATGATGAATGTGCTCGCGGAATTCTGCGGTTTATGCAGTTTTTAATCACAAGATTACATGCGCCAGTGAATGCGGACTGGATAAAGCGAGAAATCACCGTCGCCGTCCGCAGGCTTAACGTTTCGTCACCGATATGCTGTTTCCTTCATCGTCGTTTCTGTACAGAGAGGACGATTTCTTTGGTTCTGATGAAATTTCTTGAATCGGAACAAATTTCGGTCTTTCGTAGTGGAGCAAACAAACGAATGTTTGATTCGTCAAACAGGTTTTGCCTGGTTTCTCAAGCGATAAATATTTTGTGCGAAATAACATGTTTCTCTTTTGTATTTTCGTCCAATCGTTATAATAGTTTTCACAAGTATTAAATTATTCGATAGAAGCAACACTATGTTAGGAAAATGTTAAAGGGCTTCTTTATTTTTCAACGGAAACAATATTTAATATGTAACCAAATAAATTCTTTTTACTGAAACCGAATATTAATATACCGAATATTCCTCTAAGTAATATTATTTTTTCTATCAAACAGTATGGTTTATTCTAGTGAGGCGACAACATTCTTATTCAAACAATATGATATTTGATATTAAATTACGTTATTTATGTTAAACACTTATGACGCTACATTGCTAATATTAAACCCAAAGTCAAATAAACACTAATTCCAAGGAAATCTTTTCCATTGTGTACTCTTCCTATTAAAAAATTTTCCATATATAATTATGTATAAAATATGTCTATATACAAAAATATATATTTATATATGATCATATACAAGGTGAACCATGCAACGTGATCAGCTTAGTTTATCTTGCTGTTAGTGGACCATTTGAAAATATTTTGTCTAGCATAACATAGTACAAAGTGAGCTTTAAGATGATCTGAAAGCTTAACTTGAACCATGTTATACTAGACAAAAAATTTTCAATCGATCCACTGACAGCAAAATAAACTAAGCTGATCATGTTGTATAATTCACCCTGTATAACTCTGTATCGTCACTTCATATATAATTATATATTTTTATATTTGAACATATTTCATACGTAATGTCTTATATATAGTTATATCTAATTATTTATAATTACATTTAGTTGTATATGAGAAACGGGTCTTACTATAGCGATCGCGAACTCTCGCGCGGCCATATTTGTATGGTGCGTTGGTTAAAAATAATTTCTGTAGTAAATGTCGGATATGTGATAAATATTAAACGGATGATCCACTTCATTTACAAAAAATTTCTCAAAGCTAAATTCCTTATGTAATTCAAGAAAAACGCGAAAATATATACATATAGAAATTATAAATATCTTTTTCATGGGGCATATAGAATTATTTAATCACAGTGGCTGAAGCTTGTGCTTATAAATACGATACAATCTTCACAGCAACTTAGTCGCCATAATTGAACGCAGCTTTAATCGCTTGTTAAAAAGTATTACAGCCTTGACATTTTCTGACCGTATCGAGATTTATGTCTCTACATCAATCGGGGAACCCTTTACTTCATGAGATTTATCGTAAGAATTCTCCCGATTTCCTGCATGCATAGACATTAGCGAAAATACACCGGTCACACATCGGCGAACTACCGATGAGATTTACATAAAACGTAATGTCATGGATCATAATGTGGGTGTAGGTCATGCGATTATACAGAGTGAGGCAATAATCATTGCCAGCTTGAACAACTTCTATTTATATTTCTTTAAAGTAAAAATACTTTATGAACGACTAAATAATGATGAAAAGTTACATTTACAGAAATATTTACATTACATATTTAAAATAATATTATAATAATATTAAATGAACTAACATTAATTTAATAAAATAAACTAATAATAATTAATTTATTAAAATAATTATTATATTAATTTATTAAAATATTAATTAAATTAAATAATATTATTATAAATAATACTATAGAGTAAAGTAGCATTACATTGATAAATGTCCGAAGTGATGACCGAAGTTGATGTGAATTGGTGTGTTTGGATAAATTTTCTTTCTAATTTCATGTTTCGAAGATATTTAAGGTGGCAATAGTTATTGTCTTATTCTACACAAGGATTGTATCAGTTGTGAATACTTTTAGATAGATCGTCGTTTCCTTTTTGGTTTGAGATCATTGCCGTTAACATATTCACATTTACATCTTGTATCTCTCCCCTTTATTCTCGGCATAAAAATGAGACACATGCGGTCGCTTGAAGTTCAAGTAACTGCAATCACTACAGGTATTACATTAGAACCAAAGATTCCGACATCGATTCTTATTGCCCACAGCCGCAATCGATCTCCGTCGCTTGCGTTTCACAACAACAATGTACAAATATGGCCATAATGTTCGGTATTGTTGGAATTTTCAGGTGCCACCGACTGGCACAATCCACGAGAATCGTAATAATTATGTAAATCAACAAGGGCGTTTTGTTTCTCCTCTGAGAAAGCGATTGAAGCACAGCACGAAAGTTTCGCGATTCGGTAAGTTTTATTCAACGACGAATCATTTTTGAAATCGCATTCCTTCGTTCTCTTTCATTCTTTCTGTTTATCTTTATTGTACCTTTCTGACGCAAGTAAGTTGCCCAACGCGATAGTAAAAATATCTGCCGTCGTTCTTACAACCGCACTGTAATCTGGTACAAGCACCGTTGTCGGATATATGCATATTTTTAAACTTTCTCGCATCAGCGAGATAATAACTTCCAACTAAAAAAGTTAAACAAACAAGCAGATGCAAGCTAGAATAATAAAATGTCGAAATCAACGAATAATTTAATTACATGTTTTTTGAATATTCGTGGAATATTCCCCTTTGTTAATTAGAATCTCTGCAAATCTCGGTAAGAAAAACAGAAAGTACTATCCTTGAGCGTGATTATTATTCGGTAAGACGGTGCTTACACCTTATTATTCGCAAA